GCTGAGCTCAGCTGAGCTGAGTTAAACTAAACTAAACTAAACTAAAAATAAAGTAAAGTAAAATAAAGTAAAGTAAACCTGTTCTAATGGGTCAGCGGTTCCTAGAAAGCATGTAGTGTTCGGTTTATCCGTTCCATTCCACTAAACCACGACCGATTTAACCCTGGTTTGAGGGGAGGGATCTAGAGGGAGCCGTCTTGGCAGCTCCAGGGCCAGCTCCCAACCACGGTGCACGAACCTCAACAGCTAGGATGGCGCATCAACTCAACCCCTTAACGCTGCGCAGAGCGTGAGAACTTGAGTTCTGGCCGCCGCGGAGTTCGGCGAGAGGAAGGGCAGAGGCCAAAGCGGAGCATGCCGGGAATCGTAGTCCCTCCCGCGGCCTCGCGGGCGTCACCAGCCGGGCGGCCGGAGCCCCTTCTTCTCCCCGTCCGGCGGAAGGATGCCGCCGGTGCCCGTGCTCTGCGGCAGCTGCGGGGAACAGCGGGCTGCGCTCCGCCGCCCCAAAACCGGCCAGGCGCTTTGCCGGAGCTGCTTCGCGGCCGCTTTCGAAGCGGAGGTACACGAGACCATCGTGTCGGCGCGTCTTTTCCAGCCCGGCGAGACGGTGGCCATCGGGGCGTCGGGCGGCAAGGACTCCACGGTGCTGGCGCACGTGCTGCGCCTGCTGGACCAGCGCCACGGCTACGGCCTGCGCCTCTTGCTGCTCTCCGTGGACGAAGGCATCGCGGGCTACCGGGACGACTCGCTGGCCGCCGTCCAGCGCAACCGGGGCCGGCTGGGCCTGCCTCTGCACGTGGTCTCCTACCGGGAGCTCTACGGCTGGAGCATGGACCGCATCGTCCAGCACACGGGCGCCAGGAACAATTGCACCTTCTGCGGCGTCTTCCGGAGGCAGGCGCTGGACCGGGGCGCCGTTTTGTTAGGGGCGGACAAGATAGCCACAGGTAGGAGGGCTGCGCCCTGGGACAGGGTCGCTGGACAAGGGTACAAATACCCCTGTAGACATCAGTGGAGGTCAGAGGCCTTCAAACTTGGCAAATTTAAGACTTGTGGGGGAACTTCAACTCCCAGAATTCTCCCACCAGCTGTGCTAAGCAAGCCCAAAATTTCTGTCCCTAAGCAAGACATTTGTTAAGGGGAGTTTTACCCCGTTTTACGACCTGTTAAGTGAATCACTGCACTTGTTGTCTATGAAGATTGTCCTGGACAAGGGTACAAAAACACCTGTAGACATCAGTGGAGGTCAGAGGCCTTCAAACTTGGCAAATTTAAGACCTGGGGACTTCAACTCCCAGAATTCACCCGCCAGTTGTGCTAAGTGAGCCCTACATTTCTGTCGCTATGCGGAACATTTGTTAAGGGGAGTTTTGCCCCGTTTTACGACCTAAGTGAATCACTGCACTTGTTGTCTATGAAGATTGTTAGCTATGCTGGCGGGAGAATTCTGGGAGTTGAAGCCCACAAGTCTTAAAGTTGCCCTAAAACTTTAGGAAGGATAATAAGGGGGAACATTAAGTTTAGTAGCATTATGGCTACGTTCAAACTTGTAATCTCAACAAGTTTAAGATGTGTGGATTTCAACTCCCAGAATTCCCCAGACAGCCTTGAAATCCACACATCTTAAACTTAAGAAACACTGCCTTACTACTCAATGTGATATCTAACTAGAGTGTTTCTCAGCCTCAGCTATTCCTAGGAGTTAAGTCTACCACCAAGGAATAATTGAGACTGAGAAACACTCTAGTTAGATAGCTAGTTTGGTTTGGATTGAGCGTGTTGTGCGAATGCATCTTGATGTATAGGTGAGGAATTTGTGAACCTGGCTAACTGTCTCTCATTGAACAAACTGTAGCAAGAGTGATGCTGAGCATGTGCAGAGTCAGGATCTTCATTTTCAGCTTCAGAACCGACCCGAGCATGCTTATTAAAAGACCTGAAATGCCTTCATTCTCAACGTTGCACCTTAATTTTGAAAATCTTCTAAAGGTCTTTGAGCTGTTAAAATGACTATTTCTAGTGGTGGCGCCGTGGTTAGAGTGCAGTACTGCAGGCTACTTCAGCTGACTGCTAGCTGCAGTTCAGCAGTCCAAATCCCACCAGGTTCAAAGTTGGCTCATCCTTCCATTCTTCCGAGGTGGGTAAAGTGAGGAGCCAGATTGTTGGGGGCAAGAGGCTGACTCTGTAAACCACTTAAAGAGGGCTATAAAAGCACTTTGAAGTGGTATATAAGTCTAAGTGCTATTATAGCAATAGCAATAGCAGTTAGACTTATATACCGCTTCATAGGGCTTTCAGCCCTCTCTAACCGGTTTACAGAGTCAGCCTCTTGCCCCCAACAATCTGGCTCCTCACTTGACCCACCTCGGAAGAATGGAAGGATGAGCCAACTTTGAACCT